ACATGGTGCTGGATCAGGCCAGACCTGCCTGTGAAGCTCTTCCCACACTTCCCACACTCATAGGGCCTCTCCCCTGTGTGGATGCGCCGGCGCACAGTGAGATTGGAGTTGTGCTTGAAGCCCTTCCCGCAGTCGGGGCAGCGGAAGGGCCTCTCCTCTGTGTGAATCCGCTCGTGTACGAGGAGATTGGAGCTGGTCTGAAACCTCTTCCCACACTGGGGACACTCGTAGGGCCTCTCCCCAGTGTGGATGCGCTGGTGTTTTCTCAGGTGTGAGCTCCTCCCAAAGCTCTTTCCACATTCCAAGCACTCATAGGGCCGTTCCCCGGTGTGGATCACCTGCTGCTGGATCAGGCCAGACATGTATTTGAAGCTCTTCCCACACTTCCCACACTCATAGGGCCTCTCCCCAGTGTGGATGCACCGGTGCACAGTGAGATTGGAGATGCGTTTGAAGCCCTTCCCGCAGTCGGGGCAGAGGAAGGGCCTCTCCTCTGTGTGAATCCGTTCGTGTCTGAGGAGATGGGAGCTGGTCCGAAACCTCTTCCCACACTGGGGACACTTGTAAGGCTGTTCCCCAGTGTGGATCCTCTGGTGCTGGATCAGGGTGGAGCTCTGGCTGAAACCCTCCCCACATTCCAAGCACTTGTGGGGCTTCTCCCTGCCACAAGGCTTCTCCACCAGCTCCGAGCTCCGGATGGATCTCTGCCCGCCTTCCTGGCTCAGGGGGGCTCTTTCCTCCCCGCAGCTCCCTGGGCTGGGTTTGCAGCTCCTCCTCCTGCAGCATCTCCGGGGCTTTCGCTCCTCCTCCATCCAGCCACACCCTGGCAATGAAAAATCCTGGTTTGAGGGAAAAACAGGAGAAGAGTTCCTTGGACTGGAGGTTCCACCTTGCCCAAGTTCATCTCAGGAAATCATTGGGAATCTTGTGTCTGTACGAACCTCCAAAACACCAAGATTCAGCCCAAAAATCCCAAACTTCAAGACACATATCAAAAACTCCCCAAACATCACCACTCAGCAAAAACCTCCTTCAAAAGATAAAGATTCAGCTGCCACATAAAACCAAAGCACCAACATTTAGCCCAAGAAAGCACAGAAACACCAAGATTCACCCCGTGAAAATCGTGGATCCCCCTCCACAGTCACCTGCTGCATGTGGGGGGAGCAGCGCTCCTGGGGCTGGGGGGAG